ATATATATATATATATATATATATATATATATATATATATATACCACACAGGGTGTCAAGAAGAAGAAAGAGCACATGCGTGTTTGCAGGTAGCAACACAGGGTGTTAATAGAGGTTTGAGCAAGGAAATGAGGCTAGCGCTGGGCATCTGGAGAGAAGTGGAGGGAGGCTGGGCTGGAGTGGTGTTATGGTTGATACATTGTGTCAACTTGGAGAGTCTAGAGGTTTGGCTAAGTGACTCGGCAGGAAGCCAGGGTGCTTACTTTGTATACATCCTGAGCCTGTGGGAGAGGAGGGCAGGGAGATTATGTGAGAACTACACCCGGGAAGGTGGGGGTAGCCTATTTACAATGTAAGGCAGGGAAAGAGGTTGCTGGCCGTGATTCCTTCCATTTGCTCTGGCTGTTTGCTGTTCGGCTGCCATTCCCCCCTTTGCTCTTGTTGCTTTGCTATCTTCTGCCTTGGAGCCAGCTAAGTATGGACTGAAACTTCCACAAACTGTAAGCTAAATAAACCTTTCCTTCCTTAATTTTAGGCATTGGGTATTTTGTCTCAGCAACGAGGGAAAAGTAACCAAGACAAGCGGTAACAGAGGGTCAGTGGCAGAGATCTGTGCAGGTCCAAAGAGCACGGTGCGGTTCGGAATCCCTCACCCCCAGTTTACACGGCCACCCGGACTCCTGCCATCACGTCTGTTCCTCAAGCCTCGTCTAAAAACCCAGAGAATTTTCTTAGTATTAAACCAAATTCCCTCAGGCCTCGTGTCTTTGGCTCAGGGGAATCAACAACAAATATGCCTACTAAGAAGGAGTCCAGGTGATCCGGGAAAAGAGCCAACTCTGTGGGAATGTGATGAAGAACTAAAAAAAAGATCTTAAAGAAATGTCTGTTTCTATTTTGGAAATGGGCAGTTTATGGGCAACAACCGAAACCTCTGCTCAGCCAAGAGGAGCTGGTGGCCAAGGGGAAGTGGTATCCAGCAAAGGAATTCATCCCTGGCTTACTATCAACATTCTTTTCCCCACCACTGAAGCCCCAAAAATGTTGACAGAGAAAAATGATATCGGAGAGTAAATTATAAAAAGAAGGGTTATGAATATCCATGGTCAGAGAGCTCACATTTGGGTTTAAAACCAACATGAGAGTAGGAAAATGCCATGAGATGAAGTGATGGAGACGGGGAGCAAGAAAGGAGGCCCCTATAATGAGGAGGTGGAGAAATCTTAACAATGAAGACAGGATAGAAAGAACTAAGCACAGGAGGAAAGCAGACAAGGTTTAAGTCCAGAAGCGTAAGGTCAAGGTGATCAGCATGAAACAGAGTAAACTGTGGTAGCTTTGGGAAAAGGTGGGAAATAACATTCTACACGTGAGCTTCTAACCAGGCATGCTGGGGATCCCCACGCCTTCCACTCCGTGAGAACTGCCCCTAGCTCTAGTCTGCAAACAGTCCGTGCCACCTACAGTTCCTTCCTCCGCAAGAAATGAGATGGACTGGTCCATGCCTCCTCCTTCGGTGCCAATGTAACGCTCGCTCTTGGCACAGATCTCCGCAAGTTCCACCTGAAAAAAAGTAAAAATTGATTTGATTGTGTGATCAGAACCTAGCGCTCACCTATCTCTTATTCCAGATGTGACAAACAGGTTTGAATTTCAGGGAATTCCAATTCTGATCAAGTAATAGCAAACGCCTGGAGCACGGTGTTAACAGGACTGCAGATGACCAGACAGCCCAACAGGAAACATGCCAAGGTCAGTTAAAAGCTCTTCTACAGGCATAGAAGGAGATACTGACTGCGCATGCTGCTCTTGACATCCCTAACAGGCGCCAGGGGCAGCCAGGTTTGCCCTCCTGTCTCTACTCCATCTCCTCCTAGACTGGTATCACTCATTTCTGCCTCAGCCTCCTTTGTCCCTCAGTTCCACAGTCTGCCCAAAGCCAAAGTGTGTTTGTGCTCCAAAAGTAATGTGTCTCTCTGACATCTCCACTACATGTGAGAATAGAACTTCTCACCAGACACACCTTCCCCCAACTAAGATGAAGATGAACACGGTTCTAATCCAAATTGAAGCTCTCCAAATGTCTGTCCAAGAATCTTCAATGGCTCCCTACTGATAAATAATTTCAAACTCCTCAACCCAGCCCTTCAAAACCTTCCAAACTCTGGCACAGGAAATGGTCTTGTCTACTATTCTCATCCAGGTAGCTGCACCTCCTTGATCATCTCATGCTCCTTCATACAATCTGCTATTGCTTCCTGTCCGCTTCTACACAAGTCCTCTTGCCGCTCCATAGCCAGCTTATTGACCACCTTGGACGGGCCAGTCATGAGGCCGCCATTCAGTTCTTCCTCCGTCATGCAGCCTCCCAACTGGGGCCCACCTTCCCTGAACCCCTACAGCACTGAGGGTTAGGATCGTCCGCTCCACTTACTCATTCGTTCACTGTTCGTTCATTCCTGACTTCACACAGGCCCTGCTTTCTCACTTTGGTTAGTGCAGGTCATAGCGCTTCATCTGAAACGCTCACAAACTGTAGTCATCTCTCGCCTCACTGGTTGCCAGTGCCTAACGCTCACACTTAGCATGGTACCCCAGGTCGCTAATGACTGGGCCCCTGCTCCTCCACCACTCGTCCCGTAACCCTAAGCACCAGCGATGGGAAATACACAACAAGTGCTGGCCTCCCTCACCTCCCAGAGCCCTTACGAGGACAATGTTCTGTCCTCCTCTGCACCACTCACACGGTCAACAATGCAAGGGTCACCTCCTCTGGAACCCACGCCCCCACCCTGCCTGCCACGTTACTCCTCCTTGCACTCCCTATGTGTAATTCTATCACCGTTTTGGAATCGTGCTTCAATGTGGCTTTACTTGTCTCTCATTCCACCAGGCTTTGAGAGCTCAGGAAGCTCCTGGCCAGAGCCCGCTCACCTACAGTAAGCTGAATCACAGTGTTTATGATTGTTCTCTGTGTCGTGTCTCCATCACACCTGTTTCCTCCAGAAAACTGAGTCCTTCAAAGACAGACACAGGACCCACTTGTGCCACCCTCTCCACAGAGTGCCGAGCACGTCGTAAATACTCATTAACACACGCGCTCCCCTCTGCTGAGAATAGCTTCCCAGCACCATCCAACAGATTCTGCCAGGGTCACATTTCTCGCTGGCCATGCGCCTTCACTATCATTAACTTTGTCTTGTGACAAGAGGTAAACTTGGGATTTGGACATAAGGGGCACTGCATGTGGCCTGCTGAGGCACAGAACCAGTGACCTGCCCATAATAGGCACAGCAAAAATAAATTAGTCACCAAAAGGTCAAAACACGTGAATTTAAAATACAGAGAAACAGCATACCCAGATGAGGCAGACCTGGGCCAGGGTGAAAAGTCGCCATGGCCACACAGCCAGGTGTGTACCAAGAACGCTGAGTACCTCCTTTAAGCTTCCACAGCACCCCGACTGTACACAGAGAAGTGGGTGGGGTCAGACACACGTCACAGAAATGCAGGAGCAGGGATGTGAACCTGACCTGTCGGACTTTCAGCCTGCGCTCTTCTCAGGCTGAACTCCAACTGCTTCCTCCAAAATAGAGACGACGCAACCCATTTTACTCCATCAAAGGGATGAAAAGACAAACAAGATCAGCCAAATTTAAGCATCTTCCCTCGTAAGAAGAAAGAAAATAAGAGCACTGAGGATTTTATGCTTACTGATTACTTTTTTTAGAAGAAAAATCTCTTGATATGTGGTAACAGCTGCACAAATTAACAGAAATAAGATGTGTATTTCTCAGGACTGACTATCTGGACTGGATTTAGAGTGATCCCTTAAAGTCTCCCACATCCTGGTGTCCAGGACAACTTGTGGGATGGAATGAAAGAAGGAAGGAAGGAAAGAAGGAAGGAAGGAAGGAAGGAAGGAAGGAAGGAAGGAAGGAAGGAAGGAACAAATGAAGGAACGAAGGAATGAATGAAGAAAAGAAGGAAAGAAGAGCCGGGCGTGGTGGCGCACACCTGTAATCCCAGCACTCTGGAGGCTGAGGCAGGAGAATCGTTGTGAGTTCGAGACCAGCCTAGGCCACAAAGTGAGCTCAAGGCCAGCTTGAACTGCATAGTGAGACCCTGTCTCAAAAAAAAAGACAAAAAAAGAAAAAAGAAAGAAAGAAGGAAGGAAGGGAAGGAGGCTGTTAATTATTATTTTTACAAATGAAAGGGAAATCATTTCAGAGAGTAGCTAAGTCTCTGGCCAAAAGTAAAGGTATAATTATTCTGTAAAGTAGGACCATTTTTAAGTGTTTAGGACAAGACAGAATTTAAGATTCTAGATGCACCTAGACAGGTCAGCTCACCAAGAGGGAATGAAAACGTGTGTGCCCTCTACCGCCCTTCAGTCCCACCGAGGGACAGGGAGGTCCCTGCCTGCTAAACAAGCCTGCCTGGAGTGAGAACTTCAACAGCAGTCCCCAGGTGCCCTTCCCGCGGCCGTCACCCCACTACAGGAGGCAGGAGGTCAGGTGGGGAAGACACACAAAGACTCTAGAAACAGAAGTGTAGAGAAAATCTCCACCCCTGCTGAAGGAAAACACGCACATGCTTCGGAGAGTCGTCAGAAATGAGTTAGACCCACACACAGGACACACACAGGACCATTCACGGAGCAAGCTGCGCAATAGCGCAATAGCGGGACGGCGCAGAGAGGACGCCTGGCGCCCTGGCGCATGGGAGCCGACACGGGGCCTGCCCACCCTGCTCTGTCCCTCAGGGACACTGGAAATGGAGCCCTAAGGTATTCTCCAACACTGTAATCAGACAAAGTCGCTCAAGAAGGCACTGAGTCGACACCCCACATCCGCTTCAATTAGGTGAGAGCTCAGCAGATTTCACAAGAGCAAGAGCAGCTGCCAAAACTCGTTACCCAAAGCATAGCCGTTGGAAGCTAAGCACAGGAAAGTCACAACAAGTCAGGGACCCACGGCCAGAGCCAACTTCCCACCTGACAGCTGTGGAGCCTGACTCTCTCTTCCTCCCCCCCAACACATATCACACACATGCATGTGCACACACACACATGCACACATATCACATGCACACGCACACACGTGCACATCACATGCAACCTGACAATATGCAAGCAACAGCCAAGAAGCAGTTTACACTCTCCCAGCAGTGTTGTTCTATTTCCTTTTCTTTTGATTTCCTCTCTTTTCTTGTTGAAATGCTGTGCATGGAACCCAGGGGTTCTCCACTCAGCCACAGAGCTACATCCCACCCAGCCTTTTTCCTTCTGTCTCTTTTTTCCCTCTTTCCTTCCTTCTATTTTTTTTTTTTTTTTTTTGACAGGTTCTCATTAAGCTGTCCAGGCTGGCCCTGAACTTGTGATCCTCTTGCCTCAACCTCCCACATAGTTGGGATTACGGGCGGGCACTGCCACCCAGCCTGGCAATGTGTTTGGCTCTGCACATATACCCAAGTGCGCCAAGAAGCCCTGTTACTACCACGCTAGGCTGGCTCGCTCTCCTTTCCTCCAAAATATTAATGTCTGATGACCGTCCAGGAAGGCAGTTTGACTGCAGGAGAAACTGCCAATGTCTGTGGCCAACCAACAGTCTCACTTCTGATTTCTGCCCACCAGACCATCAGGACAAACCCAATATTATCCACGGACCTCCTTTATTTCCTGAGGATATTTAATGAGTGATTCTCCCCAAGCAGCCTCCAAAAGAACCAGGACATCATACGGGCTCCCCACATTAAACTACTCACCCATTTTCAGCCACCGAGCCTCTGGTGAAAGGAGAAATAGCAGAGTTAGGTTTAATAGTCACCAAGAAGGGCTCAAGATCCACGCATGCGCTGCCTCACTGAGCCTAGATGTTTATGCAAACAGTAATAATAAAGACTCGGGGTAGTGCACCTTTGTCTAGCAGTGTTCCTAGTGAGATTGTCAGAACTAGAACCACACCAAAAGGAAGATGAATCTCTGAGTGAGTCAACCAGGGCTCCGGGAAGGCAAACTACGGAGAACATGGCTTGAGACAGAACCCAACTGTCCTTGTCGGCCACTCTGAGATGGAGTCACACGAAAGGAAGGAAATAACCTTGTTCTGAGACCAAGTTACAAGAAAGGCAGGAAATAACTTTGTTCGTTCATTTAAAACAATCACATCACAGTCATTTAAACCAGGTCCTATGGCCAAGTGAACAGGCCGGGCTCTGTCCTCAAGAAGCTCAGGATATTCCTGCCCTCGGGTGGACAAGTCCAAAGGAAGCAAGACTGCTGTGCAGAAAAGCTTCTCTCCGCTGCAGGCCTGCGGTACCCCATGCAAGATGAACCACATCCACACACTCCTGTGCACTCTGCTTCCCGCGGGGCTCCCCAAAAGGGAACTAGGGAGGAAAGGGGTTGAGGTCTGGGCACTCCTGCCAAGTGCACTTTCACACTCAGGGGTCATCCAGGCCTGGTTTCCAATAATCAGCTGTCCTTTGTCACTGAGTGTGCCATCTCTCTGCCAGTATAACCTGGGATAAAGATGGGTAAGGTGTGACGTTGATGGCGATTG